TGCTCTAAAAAGATTGTCAGAAAGAAAGAAGCCACACTTATTGCTTGGAAACACAAAGTGTTTAATAGGATTTGCTGACTGCTATAACATAAAAACTCAAAATAGTTTCATGGTTCTTTTGCATTGAAGTAAGCAAATTCATTCATTTCTTCATTCATTCATTCATTTATTCAACACACATTTACTGAGCACCTACCACATTCCAGGCAAGGTTCTGGGGATAGGAAGATGAATAGGACACAGCTCTTGCCCACCAGGAGCTCACAATCTGATGGAGGAGGTGACGTTCTTGGGGGGTGTTCTAAGGAAGAACAGATCACGGGAGAGGAGACAGGAAAGAGAAAAAGTTTCACTTTGGACATGATGAGTTTGCTGGGCCTGCAGAATATCCAAGAGGATAAGTGGAGCCGGAACTCAAATGCAAGATCAGGGAATACAGATTTGAGAATCATCAGCCTTCAGGTGGTCATTAAATGAGGGGCCTGCCTGAGTTTATGCAGGGAGTGTGTGCAGAATGAGATGAGAATGAATCAAGAACAAAACCAACTCCAGGAAACGTCAATATATCAGGGGCAGGGAAAGAAAAAGGACCAGTGAAGGAACCTGAGAAACCAGATCAGGAGATCATCACAAGGAAGTGGGTCACCGAAATCAAGGGCTGGGAGTGATGATTGACACAGAAAAGCCAAATCACATAGGAACTTAAAAAGTGCCCATTAGATTTGATCTTGGTAAGAGCATTTTTAGTGGAGGAGTGGGAGTGGAAGCCAATCTGCAATGGATTCAAGAAGAAATGCAAAGTGAAGAAAGGCAGATAATAACTATACAACTAAATAAACTCAGTCATGAAGATTATGATCCAAGAGTTCTTAGCATTTTTATTGATTGCACTTGAGAAGCCCAGTGGGGTGAGAAATGTCAAGGATCTAGGATGGAGAAGCAATAATAGATGGAGCAAAGTCTGGGGGTCAAAGGAGGGGAAGGGATCCAGAAGACATTCGGAGTGGGAGAAGGACTCACATTCCAATGGTCTGAGAGGGAAGTAGGAGCACAGACACAGAGCACAGTTTGTTAAAGACAACAAATATTAGAAAGATAGGATGGAAAAAGACTATGAATATGGGGAAATGACCAGTGGCTTAGCAGATGACAATGACAAAGAAGGGGAAAAGGTTTGGGGGAGACATTTTATATGAAGGTAAAGAGTGATAATTTGAACATGCCAGTTAGATCCCTGGGAGAATGTTAGTGCCATCCCTAAGCCTGTGGTGTGGGGGCTTGAAAGACTATCAGTAAAGTAAAAGACTTCTTGTAAAACCTTCTAGAAAGGAAAATCTTCAAAGGAGACCTAAGTGTCAGATACAAGTATTTTGCAAAAATGTGGCCCATTTGCAGAGTTTTTAGCCACTAGGCAGTGTTCAGAGGGGCACAGTGGGTCATCATGTGGTGAGGATGGAGAAGCTAATATTTAGGCATAGATAACAAACATGGGACCCGGTGGGATCAATGGACTTCAAGATGTGGGGTAGAGCTTGGAGGTCAGTGGTAGCCCTGGGTTGTGTAGAAGTCTTGATGATACCCCCAACTGAAGGGATCTGTTCCAGGATCTCCCAAAACATTGGTGAGAAATTTGGGGTCTCAGAAAGTAACAGGATAACAAGCTAATCTTGGGATTGGTTGATTTTCAAGACCCTCATTTCTTAGAAGGAAATCACAACAGCCTTCCCAGAGATCAGAATAAATTGACCACACCTCTGAAAAGACTCTAACCCAGGTATACAAGAATCCAGATTCAAATGTTCTTTCTGGTGAGAAGAGCAGAAGCCCCAAGAGCATGACAGAAAAACAAACTCAGCAAGGGAAGTAATAATTATTCAGTATCGAGAATGGAGCTTCATGGGGTCCCATGATAGAGTCTAAGCTGGTAAAGACCACCCAGGCACATGTAACCACATAAAGCCCCCAAGGCCAATTCTGCAGGGCCCATGATCAACAGGTATGTGTGTTTCCAAGATTCTCTCTCAGCTTCACTTTGATTTTTAAAATCCTACTAGGTAAATAGCCAGAAAAATATCAGACATTATCTAAAATCACAGGGAACCACAAGGTAAGGGTGATGGAGGGAGTTATTCCCTCTCTGTGTGTTCTAGAAATATTTCTAGAATTCTAGTTGGAACCCAGATTTTTTTTCCCCCAGACTTTACATTAAGACCTCAGGTGGTTTGGGCAAGGCCCCCAGCCAGCTCTTTCCACATATGCACCATTCTGAAGTGGTTTCAGGTCTCTGAGTAGAGCCTAAGTGGCCCGAACACAGCCCCTTCTTCATAACTCCACACCAACCACACAGCATCATATATCCTGCTCAGCCAATCATGTCTATTGCAGACCACAGGGGAGACCAGCAGCCCCAGAGACACCTGCACAGATGGGTAAGCAGCCACCTGAGACTCCAGGCACCTGCCACCCTCAACTCAGATGTCATACTTTCTGTGATACCCCCACTGCACACACACACATCACACACCAGACACATTCCCTCCTCTGCACCCTCCTCCATATAGTTTACAACTGCATTTATTATTACAGTGTGCTTTAAATGTTTCTCTACATTTTGCTTCCCCACCCAATGACATTTGGAGCTCCTTTATTGGGTTCTAGGGCCTATCATCCAATAATATTTGTAGGAGGAGTCGGTCTGGGCTGAGATAGAGTTAACTTGAATTGAATAGACTTGAATTGAGCCAAAATGGCACTGGGAAATACAGGGCAGTAAATTCTCACAGCCATAAGGTTAAGCATTACCTCAACTTCCTCATCAGGGGTGTCCCCAGAGACCCACCACCTCCAGAGTCTCTCCCTAGCTCCCCAGCCACATTGCCCCTCCTCCACTGGGCAGTCCTCATTGCTTCTTGTGGAACAGAGCTGGGGCTGGCTCATTGCTGGGCTCAGCCATGACCTGCATGGGCTGATTGTTCAGGGCAGCCTCGCGCATCTTGTAGTACATGAATTCATTCTGACGGAACATGCGTAGCTCCATCTCCGTCTGCACTCGCATGGCCTGTGGGACACAGATATACTGTAAACAGTGATGGCAAGCTCCTAGGACATGCTGGTCTCTGATATACCTTGGGGTAAATTACTTCCAGCCATGGAGATTCAACTCTACCCCCTCAGAACACACACACACACACACACACACACACACACACACACACTCATTCATCGAGGGCCTAACATCCTGGCAGTATCTCCATTGTCAGGGAGAGGGAGTCAGAACACTGGGAGAGTAGCTGAAGGAACCATTCTCAGAAAAGAGTGTTTGTTCTCAGGAACTGCCCAGCGGGGACCTGGATTTGAACCCTGGCCCCTGCAGATACTAGTGTGGGACCTCACGCAAGCGAAGTAATTGCTTCAGCCATCAGTTTTCTCCCCCTTTTTGTACCTTACTGTGGGTTGGGAAGATTACAGTGTGTGACACACAGAAGAGCCCTCATCCTCCCACATGTCCATTCAAGAAATATTGCTCAAGGGCCAGGCATTCAGAGACTCACAGCCGTGAGTAAAATCAACAAAGGCTCTGCCTTTGACAGGCTCGGTATCCTAGACATAAAGCTAGTTACCCTGCTTTTCTGCCCCTCACTCCTGCCAATTTTGAGGGGCTAGTATATTATTTCCATTTTATAAATGAGGAAACTTGGGATCTGAATAGTAAAAGGACATCCATACCTGAGACCACGCCAGTCCTAAATGTCATAGTCATCCTACATTTTATAACACTAAAGTCTGTCCACTTTCCCTAGACTGTACTGTCTGAGGACAGCCCTGTCACTCTCAAATAAACCAGCCCTTCAAAGCAACAAGGACACCAGCAGCACCATTTGCCAGGCACTAAGTGCATTTCACACATTAACTCATGAATACTCATCACAACCCTATCCTTTCCCCGTTTTACTGATGAGGAGACTGAGAGCTATACATTCAATATTTGCAAAATCACACAACCAGAAAGCAGTGAAGCTGGAACTCAACCTGGAGGTGTGATTCCAGAGCCTGTGATCCCTAACTATACTCCATGTTACACAGGATACTTTCTAATATAAATGGCTGCGCGTGCGCGCGCGCACACCCACCCCCTCCCCCCCCACATACACCGTTGTTTGCATTTCCTCACTCCAGGTTTGGGGTGTTAAGATTCAACAGACTCAGGCTTCAAGTCTCAGCTTTGCCATTAACTCGCTGTGTGACTATGGACAGATTGCCCTCCTTTCCTGAGCCTCAATTTCCTCATGTGTGAAGCAAGGTGATATGGTTTGGATATTTGTCCCTTCCAAATCTCACACTGAAATGTGACCCCCAGTGTTGGAGGTGGGGCCTGGCGGACGTGCTTGAGTCATGGGAGCAGATCTCTCATGAATTGCTTAGTGCCATCCACTTGGTAGGAGTGAGTTCTCGTTCTGAGTTCACACCAGATCTGCTTGTTTAAAAAAGCCTGGCACCTCTGCCTTTCTCTCTTGCTCCCTCTCTCATCATGTGACACACTGACTCCCTTTCCCTCCTGGCATGATTAGAAGCTTCCTGAGGCCCTCACCAGAAGCAGATGCCAGCACTACACTTCCTATGCAGTCTGCAACCCTGAGCCAACACAAGCCTCTTTTCTTTATAAATTACCCAATCTCAGGTTATTCATTTACGGTAATGCGAACGGTCGGTCTAACACACAAGGGTAGTGGGCTAAAGCATTTCTGAGTTCCCTTTTGGTCTAGCTGGGAGTATGTGGACTTTCTAAAAGCAGAGTCCACCTGAACTCACAACTCTCATCCTCAGGAAACCTCAGGCCAGGAAGGGAACACCAGCCCCAAGATGCTACTTGCCTCTAAGTCCTTGTTGATGGGGTGGGAGGTCCGTGTGTCACCAGGAGAATGGCATAGGCTTTTGCAAGATCATCCCATGCCCAACCTCAATGTTACCAGCGTGCCAGTTGGTCAGCCCTGCCCGCATCACGCCCATGCCAAGTGGGCATTGTTGGTGGTAGAGCTCTCCTGTGGAGCAAGCCAAATAATCATACATTAATACCAGTCACTGCCTTCATGTCTGCACTTAATTTAAAAATGTATAAAGTGCCCCATTGATTAAGCCCATCTGCTCTTACCCGTAGCCACTTGTGAGTCTTCTGTACCCGCCAAGAGAAACTGAGGCACAGAGACATGGACGAGTGCCAAACATTCTACAACGTGAGGCTGTGATAGCTGAAACTCTGGCCGGGCTGCCCAACCAAGTCCTTGTGAGAAAAGGGGCAGATCGTACTCTCTGAGCTTGAGCACAGGGAGCTCACAGCTCTCAGGAGCACCTCAGACCTCTCCCTGGAAAGTGGTAGGAAGGTCCGCAGGGACGAAAAACATAATTAAATGTCGCTTTTTGAGCCAGCCATGATTTTCACCTGCCGTGCAGCATTTGCCAGGGCCTTCCTTACATGTTGTAGGTCTTCTTAGCTCTACATATTGTTCTACATTTCTTGTTCTAACATTTAGCACATTTCTACAAAATGTCTCACAGTTTTGTTTGACTCAACATCCTTCTCAAGCAGAAATGAACTTGCGTCAACTTATTTGGCCCGAACACAATCGCAGTGCGATACTGGCACACAGAAAGAAAGAGAGGGTATGGCAGATGGGCAAGGGAGAATTGAATTTTACAATTTTTAAGCACAGATATTGATGGCTCTTTAAAAAATAAATGAATACATAAATACAATACAACAGCTCCCAGAATTCTCTTAGTTGATTACGGGGTAGAGGGCGCGGTCCAATCACTTAAAATCAAGCTGGGGTTAGCCTGAAGGAAATCAAAAGCAGAAGACGCCACCCAAGTGATAGATGTGCTGGAGAATTTGGGAGAGACCAGGGATGACAAATAGGTTTCATCTCAAGCACAAACTCTGATTGTTTGGTCATTACCACTGGAGCACTATGATAAAAAGTCTCAGTCAAAAAGAGAGCCGTGATGGATTCGTGACGCCTGCTGTGGGTATAGGAGGGAGAGGCAGCAGTAAATATGCTATCTATTTGCCATCCCTGGAATAGACACACTTCCAGGAGACTATCTGAGACTCAGAATCGTCACCTACATATAGCCGTCCACCATCCTCCTGGCATAGTCCGAGGCCTCCTCAAAAGCCTGGAGGTAGGAAAGGACCTCCGAAACAATGCTCAGTATCCGCAGCATGTAGATGTTGGTGTCAGCAAACACTGGCTCCTGCTTTTGCAGGCACTCCCGGCATAATTTCACAACCTAGAGTGAGACAGAGGCCCTGCCCATTACCATTGCACCAGAGCACACGCTTAATTCACATACGCGACCATCATGATGGTATCAGACACTCATTCTTTTTAAGATTGGGGCAATTGCTGACAGAGGTGGGAAAGCACAGTTTTGGGGTATGAATTGCAAAGTGGTCCCATTGGCTAAGGGGTAAGGATGGGAAGGGTAATGGTGTGAAACATGGCAGATGCAGCACGGTGCGGAGTTTCCAAAATCAGTAGGTAGCGGGAAGCTATGAAAGCTATACATACACACACACATATAAATGTACAATCAGATCTGTATAAGCACAAGTTCCACATATATATATATAGAGAGAGAGAGAGAGAGAGCGCGCGCGAGAGAGAGAGAGAGAGAGAGACAAGAGTCTCACTCCATTGCCCAGGCTGAAGTGCAGTGGCTTGATCTTGGCTCACTGCAACCTCCACATCCCAGGTTCAAGTGATTCTCCTGCCTCAGCCTTCTGAGTAGCTGGGGTTACAGGTGCCCACCACCATGCCCGACTAATTTTTGTGTTCTTAGTAGAGACAGGGTTTCACCATGTTGCCCAGGCTGGTCTCAAACTCCTGAGCTCAGGCAATCTGCCCACCTCGGCCTCCCAAAGTGCTAGGATTACAGGCATGAGCCACCATACCTGGTCAAAAATATGTTAAAAGAAAGAAAGAACAATACAACAACAAAAAACAATACAAACAAATCAATACAGTATAACAGCTACTTACATAGAATTTACATTGTATTAGGTGTTATAAGTAATTTAGAGATGCTTTAAAGTATATGGAAGGATGTGCATAGGTTGTATGCAAGAATACACTATTTTATACAAGGGACTTGAGCATCTGCAGATTTTAGTATCTGTGGCAGTCCTAGAACCAATTCTCTACAGATACCGAGATATATATATGCACGCATACATGCTTACATACATATATACATATACAAATAAATTTATATCTATTATAACAACACATTGAGATGAGTACTACTAATAATCCCATTTTACCAGATGAGAAAACTGAAGCACAGAGAGGGTAAGTACTTTGCCAAAGTCACACAGATGGTGAGCAATGGATCAAGCACTGAAACCAAGCAGTTGAGCTCCAGCTTCACCACCATTCCTGTGATTCTCCACTCACTGGGCTTTGGAATCATCAGAAAGCTTTTTTAAAACACTGATGCTCAAGTCCTACCCCAGACCAACTGAAACCAAATATCGGGGAGAGAAACCCTGGATGTGTAGTTTTTATGTATAAGCGCCTGGGTGGTCCTTAGGCTCAGTGGTTTTGAATAATTATGTCCTATTGAAGTGTACAAGATGCATGAGCTCCCGGGAAACTGCAAAACATCCCCAGAAGGATTCAGCCTTGGCTCTGGTGAGGAAAAAGATGGGCCTGACCACAATCATCCTGCAACCAGGCTTTTCTGACTGACTCTTGTGTAGACATAGGCTTAGGCCCTACCCTACGAAGTCCAGCGGTCTCTAGATTTTAGGTGTTCATTGTTCTCCTCTCCTTCCTTTGAAGCTCTCATGGGAGAAATGCCGTACAATTCCTTCCGTTTACAATCAGTGGGAACTAATTTTGCTCTGAGATTTTCCCAGAGTTCATGAGGCAACCTGAGGTGGTGGGGGAGTAGCAGGAAGTGGAAAGATGATGGCTGGCAATCAATTCATCCTGAAAACAATCCTCTTAAACCCATGGAGGCAGTGTCCAGAGCTACACCTAGCCCTGCCAAGTCTGAATGGGGAAGGAGAAGAAATGTAGAGGAGAGAAGCCAGCGCAATGGAGCTAGTGGGGCCCCTCCTGCTCACTCCAGCTCCCACCTCGTGCCTCTGACATAGATTTTCCATGTTGTACAGTAACACCTTGTTTGTGTGACTGTCTCCCCACCTGACAGAACTCCTTCCAGGCAACGAGAGTGTCTTATGTTGGCCACCCCAGTAAGGGCTTAGAAATGTGCAATAAGCAAGTTAGTAAAGAAGGAGGAAGAGGAGAAGGGAAATATAAATAGAAATGAATAGAAATTGATCTCCCGCATTGACATGCCCTAGTGGCATTAACATTCAAGTTGTTTAGCGAGCTTGGGGAACAAAAATGCTAATTCATGGTCCCTGTTTTCTGCTGCAGATTGAATGAGTCACATCTTAGAGTGTGAGACTGGAAATCAGTATTTCCAACAAGCTGCCCAGGTTAATTCAATGCAAATACCCTGCAGGCCAGTGTCTGGCAGTGGGTCTCACCTTTGGTTACACATTGAAATCACCTGAGAGCTTTAAAAATCTTGCTATCAGGGTTCCATGCCCGGAGATTCTGGTGAAATTGTCCTGAGTGGGGGCCTGAGCATCAAAATTTTTCAAAGGTGATTCTAGTGTAGAGCCAGCTGAGAATCCCTGGCGCTTCAAGAGCCAAGGATGAATGCTCAGTTGGCAGAGGCAGAAAACTGTAGCTGGCACATGCATTCAATTATGGGAAAGCGTGAAACTCACTCCCAGTATGTCCACTGCCATCTGCATTCCCTCATCTCTGATGCCAGGGTTAGACATCACAGATCCCCCAGGGACAAGTGTCTGTCTGCATTTGCTCCCCTCGGACCCAGTCTCAGTGGGTTAATAATCAGTCACTGAGAATACACCCCTAAGAGATGCTAAAGGTTTTGGGGCAAGAAGAGTCATGGTCTCAACCAAGGGACATCTAGAAAAACAACCTGCTTGGTAGCCCCCTGCCCGCCCATTCCCACCCCATTTCCCTCCCTTACTAGAGAACGTTTCCACCCTCCTCTCTAACCCCATCCTCTGTAATAAGTGAATTCTTACCTCATGATACAAACCCTCCGAACGAGCCTTGTCTATCTTTTCCAGTGTATCCTTGGAGAATTGTATCATCTCCTTCACCACTTCCTGAGAGGGCTGGGAAAGAGAGACCCATTGAGCTAGAGATGCCTTCGTGAGGCAACCCGTTCCACCTTTGAGTAGTTGCCATCTTTGACATTCAATGTAGTGCAAGGTTAATGCCTTCCTCATTCTGAATGCCTTATTCCTGTAAATGCTACCCAAGATCCTGTAGCTATTCCAGTTCCCTCATCACATTTCTGACTTCTATTTTCTATTAAGCCAAGTCTCAGACCCTTGCTGTCAGCCAATCATTCCAGCCTGTGCAAATTCCTGGCCCTTTGAACCCCAGGGCAGAAACTGACATTGATAGCTATTGCGTTTTCTCTGGCATTTTGGATTCTGTCACCCAAAATATTTGCTGCTGTCCCTCTTTGTTTCAAGTCAACCACATATTTCAACAGGTACACCCTTGCATTTTTGTTGTCATCCAAGTCATTGATTTAAATACTAGCCAGCACAGGGCTAAAGACAGACCCCAAGGACTTGACCCAAAAATCATACTCCGATTTGTCTTCGAGTTCATTAAGGAGGGTCCTTGTGATTATAATTATTCAAACTCTTCCAAATGTCTTAGCATCCAGCCTGTATTTCCTTGTCTTAGCCAAAAGGATATCAGGAGAACATCTGTCAGCTGTTCCTGTGAAATCTGGACTCATTAGGATTCTACATTTGCCTAAGAAGCCTAGTGATCTTACAAACAAAACAAAACAAGGTTTTGATATTTGAGGCAAGGAAGTGCCATAATTAAGAAGCCGGTTCCCACAGGGACATAATAATTTTGAAGGAAAAGAGCCAAATTTCTCAAAGTCCAAACAAGAAGTTTACATGCTATGCTTATTCCTATCGGAAGTCCTTTTCTGAAACATTTTTTTTGCTTAAGCAAATCTTTTATAACTTTTTTCCAAAATGAAAATAACTTTATTATTTATTCTGACTGTAAAATTGACATATGCAAGTTGTGAAAATTAAAACAATATTTAAAAGTATGTTAAAAAATAAAAAAGTAGAAATCCCTAGAACTCACCTAATGACTACAGTTAGTATCTGGAGGAACATTTTCCTACGCATGCATACAGAAATAATATTTAAAATACTTAATGACTGATAGAGAAAAAGCACTGACTAATCAAAGTACAGACAGTGACCATCAACAATGGGTATGTCAGCCCAGCATGATGGCTCATGCCTGTAATCCCAGCACTTTGGGAGGCCCAGGCGGGCAGATTACCTGAGATCAGGAGTTTGATACCAACCTGCATGATAGGGTGAAACCCCATCTCTACTAAAAATACAAAAATTAGCCAGGTATACTGGTGCATGTCTGTAGTACTAGCTACTAGGGAGGCTGAGGCACAAGAATCACTTGAACCCAGGAGGCAGAGGTTGCAGTGAGCCGAGATCACACCACTGCACTACAGCCTGAGTGACACAGCCAGACCCTGTCTCAAAAAAAATTAAATAAAATTATTAGATTAAATTAAATTAAACATTGGATATGTCTAAATGACTTTACCAGTAAGCACTGGCTGAATTTCAGTCCTATGTGTGCACACACATGCATATGTGTATGTACGTGCCAATAGGATTGACTATGTTTTCTAACTGGAGTTATACCATATATCTGTCTATAGCAATTTTTCACTCAGTATTTTGCAGACATTTTCCCATATCAATATAAAACTATATCATTTTAATAAATGTAAAGTTTTCCACTGTATGAAGCTAGGATAATTTATTTAACCAGTTCTCCAGTTGTCCAATTTTTTCACTATAAAGAATTAGACTCAACAGCTTCCTTTCGATTTGCGGTTCACATTGTTTTGTGAAGTCACCCTCAGTAAACTACCAAAGAGTAACAAGAGAATGGGCATTTGTTGCAATGAAAATGTATCCCTCTCTGTAGACCATCTTCCCTCCTTCTTCCAGCTGTCCTGGACCAGTTCTGCCATGGGTTTTCATCTTGCAGTATGAGAGCCCTCTGGCCAGGACAGCTTGCTTCAGGGTCAGGCTCTCCTAAGGAAAGGGGTATTACATTTGTTCTTCTGCCCACCTCACCCACTTTGGCTTTTGTATAGCTCTTGGCTATCCCTATAATTTTGGCTATCCTTATTTCCATATCCTTCTGTATCTGGGCCTCCCTGGAGTTAGTTATTCTATGTGTCTACCTGTACTTGTTCCATGGCCTGACTCTGATAATGGATGCACCCACCAGTGCTCTAGCTTCTGCTTGCAGGTCTCACTCCTAGCTTAACCTTTGCCTTGACCTTTGATTTGACTGAGATTTCTGGCTTTGGCTGAAATCTCCTGCTGCTACCAGCTGCTACCGTATGCCCCGGAATGCTGTTCAGCCCTCTGTTAACTCAAATCATGTCTTTGTCCCAAAGAAGTCATTTCAGTGTGTGACTGCTTTCCTAAGCCTATTGGAATTAAGCCTATGTCTTGCCTGGTTGTGCAGAGTTCTGTGACTGATGGACCAGAGGTGTGCCATTAATCTGTCAAACCTACATTTCTAGTTATAGCCATAGCTTATTACCCAAGTATGATTCACAAAATCATGTATAGTTTATGACCCCTGATATCTAATCTACTGTAAATTCTATTATCTTTAAATCTCAAAATTTTTAGTGAACCTTCTGGAGTAATCAGTAGCTCGTAGGATAGATTAAGAGAATACCAAGTGGTTAAGTGTTCATCAAAGTCTTGCTCAGTTTGATGATGTAAGGAGGAGTGTCACTTGAAGCTCTGGAAGTGAGTCAATTTTGTTTAAAGAGGCAACTTACAAGATTCCCCAAAACAACCTGGCAGAAAGGTTGTTAATTAGTAAGTGCAACATGTGATAAATCTATTCTGAGAAAGGAAACGGGGTTGTTCCACTTGGCTCCACTCTTCACAATAAAGGCAGGAACACTCTGATTTGCACACAGGATTTAAGGAACCCCCGTGGTGAAAGGCTGCTGTCTCCAGGAGCATCAAATTCTACAGAAAACAAGGAGGAAGAGGGAGGGAGGACCCAGAGGCAGAGGAGAAGGAGCAAGGGTTGGGCGATCTGAGGGGCTGGGGGAGGAGCCAGAGGAGAAGGGAGGAGCCATAGGAAAGGGGAGGAGCCAGATGAACGGGGAGGAGCCAGAGGAAAGGGGAGGAGCCAGAGGAAAAGGAGCCAAAGAGGGAGAAGGGGTAAGAAGGATGTTGGTTCCCAAGCCTGGAGAAATTGGCCCATTTCTATTTGATTTTTTTCATTTTATTTATTTATTTATATATGTATTTATTTATTTATTTATTTGAGACGGAGTCTTTCTCTGTCGCCCAGGCTGGAATGCAGTGGTGCGATCTCAGCTTACTGCAACCTCCGCCTTCCGGGTTCAAGCCATTCTTCTGCCTCAGCCTCCCGAGTAGCTGGGATTACAGGCGTGGGCCACCATGCTCGGCAAATTTTTGTATTTTTAGTAGAGATGGGGTTTCACCATATTGTCCAGGCTGGTATCAGACTCCTGACCTTGTGATCTGCCTGCCTCGGCCTCCCAAAATTCTGGGATTGCAGGCGTGAGCCACCGTGCCCGGCCTGGCACATTCCTATTTGAAAATCATGAGTAAACGCTGGAGAGAGACAGGGGAAAAACCCGCCAGGCACTGTGGCTCATGCCTGTAATCCCGGCACTTCAAGAGGCTGCGACGGGCGGATCACTTGAGGCCAAGAATTTGAGTCCAGCCTGGGCAACACGGTGAAACCCCGTCTCTACAAATAATACAAAAATTAGTCTGCAGTGGTGGCACGCACCCATGGTCCCAGCTACTCAGGAGCCTAAGGCAGGAGAATCTCTGGAGCCCAGAAAGTCGAGGCTGCGGTGAGCTGAGATCACACTACTGCACTCCAGCTTGGGTGACAGAGTGAAACCTCATCTCAAAAATAAATAAAAATAAAATAAATTTTAAAAAAGAATGATTACAAAAGAAAACCTAAGCAGCCTAAACAAAGATAGTCCAGAGACACAACTGAGTAAAAATGTCATAAATTTTGCTATTATTTTCCCATTTTAAAAATATTTGGTTTTTATTTCTACGTAGGTTTACCTAAACATATATTGAGGAGCTAGGAAAGATTTTGATGGCATTTGAAGGTCTGAGGATGGTGTACTGATGGAGGCTTATCAGTCTGGGATACAGCGTTATAGAGAAAAGAAAGGAAATGACTGTGATGACATCATAGACAGTCCAGCTTGAGGAAATGGTTAATAAGTTAGTCCAACTCCCCATTTTACAGATGAGGAAACTGAGGCCCAGAAGGAAGAGACTTGGCCAAGCCCAGGTGTTTAGAGTCATAGCCAGTACTAGTACACAGGCCTCATAATTCTTCTTCCAGTATTCTTCCTACTACATTATTACGGACTTTTTTTAATGCCTGAGGAAGCATTTGCTTTTAAAAAGATATACTCAATTTTTTCCTGCTCAGTTAGTATAGATATTTTTATTTTGAGTTGTTTTAATAGAGAAACTCAATTTGATATAAAATACAATAGAAAGTTTTTGCCTTGAATTCAGGTAGGTTCAAGCTGAAATCATCAATCTTTTATATCAAGAGAAATGCCAACTCTGCAATTCATACTGAAGACGTGTGTGTATCGTCACCAGCTGGTAACAGCATATCTAAAGTGAAGGGATGGGAACTAAAGGCCACACATAGCCTTCTGAACGATTGAAACTGCCAGGTAAACATCAAAAAGTCTAAAGAAATTACCACATGGTTGTTTTATTTTAGAACAGAGAAAAGAGGGTCTGGCCTCTTAATAATAATAATAATAATAATAATAATAATAATTAAGTAGTGTGGAAGCAAGTTATGAAACAAATACTCAGTGCCTGTCTCCAGGAAGGAAGGCTGGCTGGCTCACAGATAAGACATGCTTTCCGCAGGTTCTGAAAGGTTGGGGTGAGGGTGGGTGCAATAACAAATTCTTCTCTGTAGCGCCCATGATGCAGTGCTCAGTGCCTCTCACATACATCCAATATAAATCTCCTAGAATACAGACCTTTGCTTCTCTGAAAAGAGGTTGTTCCTATAGAAAACATTAATCCGTGGGCCCCAACTGCTTTGTCTCTTCCTGCGAGGGGTGACTCTCAATATCTTCACCCCAGGCATCACTGGTCCTCCTACTTCTGTATGGAGACCGAGTATGCTTGCATGGGCATGGGTGTGTATGGGTGTGTGTGTGTGTGTGTGTGTGCCTTTTAATGTTCATAAATGGTAGCATACACAGTGTTAGGGGTAAAATTGTATCCTCCCAAAATTCATATGTTGAAGTCTAGCCCCGGAAGCTACCTCAGAATGAGATCTTATTTGGCAATAGGGTCATTGCAGATGTAATTAGTTAAGGTGAGATCATACTGGAGTAGAGTGGGCTCCTAACCCCATATGACTGGTGTCCTTATAAAAGAGAATGCCATGTGAGACGCCTCCATGCCTGTGCTGATCCCCCTCATCCTCCCCCTGAGCACAGCTTCCCTGGAGGAAATGGACAAGAAAAGTCAGTGCTTTCTTCGGTTTTGGCTTCTTGCTTAACACTATTGCAGTAAGTGATTAAATACTTCACTCTCATTTGTGATCTCTTGCTTTAACTGGCTACTCTGACACCTGGCGGCTCAGCGCTCTCTCCCAGCTCAGCTGGGCTCCTGACCTCCCGTCAGCAAGCCTTCTGCTGCTGCTCAACAGACTGACCATCAACTAGCAACAGTTACCCAGGAGTTCAGGATGTTGACCAATCTAAACATAGCCCTGTCTCCACACTGCCCATCCCCATGGGACTAGGAATATCTTTTTGATAACCAGATGACAAATATCTTTGCCCATCCGATCTCAACACCTTAAATTCTCAACATCACTCAACTCATAACGGAGCAACAGGAGGAACCAAAATTTCCAGTGTCTACTCCGTATGCCACTCCTTTTATACACATCATCTTCTTTAATCTTTATAACAACCTCTTGCAATGGGACCATCATTCCTATTTTACAGTTGAGAAAACTGGGTGACTTCCCCAAACTCAAACACCTGGCAAGTGGCAGTGCCAGGACCTAGCTGGGACCTACCCACGGAGCTCTGCTCTCATGCCCTGCCTCCTCCCCAGGGTGACAGCTGCTCCCTAGGAAGCTCATGGGCAGGGCACACTGATTAGCTGTGAAACCACCTGTGACTGGCTCCTGGAGAATATGGACACAAACACCTCAGCAGCAGGGCTGCATGTACCTTGGGGTTGTCTTTCACCCCCAGGAAGAGGTCGTCCTTCAGTTTTTTCTGGCAGTGTTCACATGTGCAGTCAAAGTAGTACTGCTTCTTCAACTGCCTCTTGCGTTCTTCACTGACGTTGAGGAAGTCGATGTAGGACACAGTCAGCTCCTCTCCTTCTGAGATCTTGCCCAGGGCCCGGAGCTCAATTCTGGAGCAGGGCAAAAGGAAAAGGTGACTCGAATCCAGGCCTACTGGAATGGGATCCATGCTCTCCTCCAAGGCTTTGTGGAGTTGGGTCTCAAAGACAATGACTTTCACTGGCAGTCAGAAACCCCCATTGACTCCACTAAAGGAGAAACGTGACCTAAAGGATGATTTTGTGGATAGTTCTAGTCTACTCCTTAGAATAGTCCGATCCACTCCATTCAGTTAACTGCTCTGGAATCAGCTCAAATAGACTCCTAGTAGAGAGCTGGGCTTGGTCATAAAACCAGACAGAATGTCCATGCCCATAAGTCTCCCTTTACTTTTAGCTACTGATTGTCTGTAATAAAAGAAGGAGAAATAATAAGGCAGAAACTCCAAACAAGAAAAAACTTGAAAATCTTTTCTGGTTAGTTTGGGGACTACTCTCCCAGAAACAAAAATTCAGTTACCCACAACCTTAGCTCATTCGGTGTCTAACTCGAAGTCACCTCTTGACCTTCAGTCCAATGGTTCAGGCCAAATTACCTGATGAGACTTAGCCCACTGGAGATCATTGAAGGCAAATAAACAAAGGCTGGCTCTGTTAGCTCACTGCATTGTTCACTTTTGTGTTTATTGGGGGATGTGGCTTGTTGGTTGAAGGTCGTTAGCAAGGGCAGATGGCATTTCAGTTCCCTTCCAGCCTAGACCTGACCCTCAATTACCTATAGCACTACCCACCTTACTTAATGAGATAGGTACTGAAGATGTTGAAGGTAAAAACCTGCTGCAGAACTGACATCCAGCTGAACCAAACAGGTAGAGGTCAGCCTGTGGATCTCTCAGCCATGCACCCTCCACCACAAGGCCAGACAGCTACAGAAAACAAGTGGTGAGCCCTGCAAGCTGGGTCCTAAACCGTGCTCCTGTACCTCCCCAGAATCCTGGGGCCTCCCTGCCTAGTGGGAAGCCATCATCCAGAGAGCAAGTGGCAGGATGCAGAGGGCTGGGGAGAGAGCCTGCACAGAGATCCATGGTCATTTCTTTTACCTCCCAGAAAGGCTCAGTTAGACACCATGCAAAAGCAAGGGCAAGACTCCAGCACCCAAGAAGAGTCCCAGTCAAAGGCAGCCCCTTCCCTGTGCTCTGAGATGACAATCAAGGAAGCAACTGCTGAATGGTAGTGACGTTCATGTCCAGGCGTCTGAGGTGACCACTGATGGATAAAAATCCTTCTCCCAAAGTGAGATACACTGACACACCTATTAATGTGTTCATGTGTATAAAAACAACTCCTGTGGAGTCTGCAAAACTGAAGTGCCTGCTCACCGTTTGTCACTCGTTTCCTTTGTTCCTTACCCCAATTTTCGGCAGCAGCAGTTACTGTAGTGATGAAAGGCCAGTAGGAGAGGAAGGTCGGGTGATTCTGCTCACAGTTCTGCTTAGAATCCTAGTATGTCTGAGCTGCAGGAATGCTCATTTCACAAATGAGGATAGTGACACAAGAGGGATAGGCCCCACAGCACTTTGGGGACAGAGCCAGGATTAGAACTTCATACCATTCACGATTCCCCTCAACATAGTAGCCTTGCCTGGTTGTTTTCAGGCTGCTTCCTGGGTCTTCGATGCACGGGAATTAAGATGCATCAAAGTCCTTGATTTTTAGGACTCTACTAATGTCCTAAGTAATTCCATGTGAGCATCTCCTGAGCCAGGATCTCCAGTATTTAACCCTATTGGGTAAGTAACCAGTTCTGCCCCCACGAGTCCCTTTTACAGAGGCAGCCCACCATAGTGACATATTCTAATTCCACAGTGAATCAGTGGCCAATTGGGCTAGAATTGCCAGTAATTTTGCTTCCTGTCATGATTGTGCCCATTCTTGCATGGTCTCAGGGTATCTCCGATTATTCCAATGGTATTAGAAATTTTTCAAAACCAAATTAACTTAATGTGACTTAAATATGAAAAGATGCATATATGTATGCCTCATTTTACCTTACTTGAAACTGGAGATTGGGGGAGAGGAATGGAGACCAGCCTGAAATAAGCACTGCAGGAGGCAGGAGATGAGGGTTTTAGCCCTGGCTCTCCCTCCAACCAGCTTCCTTGGACAAGCTTCATCTCCACCTTGTACCCCAGGCCCCTTCTACCTCCAACAATCTGCAATTCTATAGTTCAGCTAATTGAGCCACAAGTAAGCGGCCTATTTATGTATTTCTTATAGAGGTTAGGGACAGAGTCCAGAGCTACAGAGACTTAGAACTAGGAAGGTCCCTAGAGCACTCTCCTCTTGACCTTTCTCTACAGATGTGGAATCCAAGCCCAAGAGATGATGTGAATCATCCAAAGTCACGTGCAGTGCACAGCAACACAGACTCAAATGCACCAACCACTTCTACCCCAGCATTCCCAAAGCCCAAACTCCCATACAGCATTTTGTTCTTAATCCAAAGACCACTTCAAGGGCTGTCAACCCCACCCTGAGGAAAAGACCCATCTAGGGCCATTTGGTTGTCATTAAGAAAAATCAGAAGTAAAATTTAACCTAAACTACTCATTCGTAGTTGGTCAGAAGCAGTAAGCAGAATACTGGGAATGAACATTTATTAAAAATATCAGTTATAGATGCTATTTTTTGGAGCCCAGTCTGGGTGAGAAGTTGGGGCTTATAAACAGACAGTCCTTTAGTAGGTCAGTCACAGTCCCCATTTCATGGTAAGCAGGGTTTAGGGAGACAAGATAGGCTTTTGCTAAGACGATGTGGACTACAAGGGTTCATGCTTCAAGGTTGGAAGAGCAGTGGAAGTGAGGCATGAAAGGGAGGAAGAAAGGAGGCAAAGTAAAGCAAAGACAAGGCAGGTGGTATGTGGGTAAGGAAAAAATGGTTAATTTGAATGCATTAAAATACACCATTTAGCAAAGATGAGACACTGGGATGCAGAAGGACATTATGGACAGATGGCAGTCAAGGAGTCTCGGGAATGGGTGGCTCCAGCAAACCAGGCAAGTGAGGGAGACGGGTCAGAGGAGCAGGGATGCTTGAAAGGACTGACCCACCTCATCTGGGTATGAAACATGGATTTCACTGCCTCATGACTGAAAGACAAAACAGACACCCATATGGAAATCATTATCATTGGCTGGTCAGGTGTGATCCGGTGCAAGGGTGCACAGCATTCTGGGTCACACTATCAAAGCTTTGGCCATCACAACAACCTTTATCCTAGCCCCTTCTAGTCGGACTCACTGGACAAGACACAGCCTGGTAGAGTGGAAAGTGCACTGAATTTAGAACAAGACATTCTGGATTCAAAGGTACTCAACCCTGACCTGAACGAGTTCCTTCCCTTCCCTGTGTTTCAGTGTTCTCACCTGTAATGAGACTGTCATGAGACAATGCACTTAAAAGCAGAGTGCTGAAAAAACATGCGCAATGTGGTTATTATCATTCTATTAAGCATCCTGCATGAATAAACATTGCCTCTTTGGATGTCGGTCTTGGAAAGAGTTTGAAGTGCACATGGAGGCTGGTTAGGTCAAATCGATAGTATATAAAAATTGTTGGGGTTCAAACTGGGCCCCTAACCCCATGTCTAGGGTTCTTTCCACTATGGCAGGTGGCTAGACAGGAAGTGCAAAGTCACCTTCTCTTGCACAAAAGCCAGGAAGCCTGGATAAAATCTGGCTGCTAGAAATTAGTAGATGCAAGGAAGCCAGAGCAGACACAGAAGAAAGAGTTCCTAGGTTCCTGTGGTTGTTATACCCAATGACAAGAGGAGCCTTGGGTCACCACCCCTTAGAAGAGGGCCGTCTAGAAAGCCCAGGTCCATACATGGCTGAATTTGATCCTCTCTGCCATCCAGGTCAAGCTCAGTCAACAGCCCCTCTAGGGAGGATTCCATGAGATCGAGGCCAGTGACCCCAAAAGGCTTCAGGAAGGAAACACAAATGCTGAGAAAAGATTATCATCTGAGTCCAAAATAAACTTTCCCATCTTAAGTGACTTTCTCAATTGCTTAAGAGCCTGGTTTCAGAAATAGGAAGGAAAGGAGAAATCAGGGTACTTGGCATAGTGAAGCTTAGGCCCGATTCTCAGCTGAGAAGCAGACACCATTGTCTGGCTTCTAGGAAGTTTTTTGGGGGAAACTTGCTCATTGTTGATGACTCAAAGTCAGCTTGTATCTGTCATAAGAGCTCATCTCTAAGAGCAAAAGCAATTAATATTGCTCAAGCCTCATTCCTCTATATCTCCCCATCCTGAGCCATGGACAACCAGGGGCTCGTTCCATCTGCTGATTCTTCTCCATTTGTGCTCCACCCCCAAATCCATCATGTGCCCTTATTTACCCCTCATCTTCAGGTTGGGGTTTGGCCAATGGTAGGAGAGCAGAGGGTTGGGGAATGAGGGGTTGGACTATCTAGTCCATTGACTTCCTCTTTTCTGAGCCATGGTGCCAGCTGGCTGGTTTCTCTAGACACAGTTGTAAGCCACAGCTGAGCTGTTGGGGGGCCCTCTAGCCCAGGTCCAGCTCTCACTAGCTGCAGAAACAGTGCTTCCTTCTCCTGCCCTTCCAGGCCTAGAGGTAGTGATGGTTTCATGTGTTGCTAGTCCCTGGGCACCTCACCATTCTTTGTTAGTTTCCTTTTGTTGATATTTTGTTTGGTTTGGTTTAGTTTGGTTTGGTTTGGTTTGGTTTGGTTTTAGAGACAAGGTCTCACTTTGTCACCCAAGCTGGAGTGCAGTGGCATGATTATAGTTCACTGCAGCCTCAACTTCCTGGGGTCAAGTGATCCTCCTGCCTCATCTTCATGAGTAGCTGGGACTACAGGCACACACCACAATGCCTGGCTAATGTATTTATTTATGTATTTATTTATTTTTTATAGATACGGGAGTATCACTATGTTGCCCAGGCTGATCTTGAACTCCTGACCTCAAGTGATCCAGCCCCACTCGGCCTCCCAAAGTGCTGGGATTACAGGCATGAGCCACCAGGCCCTGCCCCTTGTTAGTATCTTAAACCCTGCCCACACTTCTGTAAACTGTCCCTTCATTCAATTGTATTTGGGTCAACCCCTTTGAGTGTGCCTCCTGATTCCTGCTGAGACCTTAACTAAATGACCTCTAGACAGATAATCCTAGGCTTCAAGTTTTAAAATAGTAGTTAAAGGTTTATCTGACACATCTAGGCAGCCCCAAGAAACACACACTCAGAAATGACCCAGGTTGAATTCTTTGATATCCTCCATGATGCCTTTCTCTCATCCACAATTATTCTGGAATGAGATTTCTATGTGCTATACATTTAAAATCTATGCTAGTTGAGGTTTAGCAGGTTGACTTTGGCTTAAGTCAAGTGGACAAAACACCATAGGTCTCCCCATCCCCATCACACATCCCCCCAGATAAAGACATACTCACTTGCCATTGTTAAATATGACAGTGCAGTTGGGCCAACAGTCATGGTTCACCAGGCCCAGGTTGGGGAAGATGCCTACGCCCACGGCCTGCAGGCCTCTCTGATCACTGAGAGTAAAACCGTTGCAGTTAATCTACCCAGGGGAAAAGATGAAAGAGTCAGTCAACAGACATGGACAGAACGCTATTCTAGCTGTTGAAAGCAATTTTAAAAAACGGAAGACCCAGTCTCACCCTGGAGATGCTTAGGGAGTCTGGACACAGAACATTAGTCCCCTGTTCTCTGTGTGACTCCAAATGACGCACAAGATTAGGGCCATGGGACAGTCCCACATCTGCAAAAATGCAACCCTACCTTGAAAGTTTTTTGTGGCTGTATTCTAAAAGAGTCAAAGATGGAAATGTTTTCCTTTTTCTGTATCTGGGTCTTACATGAGTATTCCTCAGTCTCTGTCTTGGTTTTTCTCTCTGTACCTTTCTTTGCACGCCTGTGTGTGTGTGTGTATGTGTGTGTGTGTGAAAGAGCTTTTCCTCCCTCTATTTCCTCTGCCTACTTAGTTTAAACTCCTGTAGCTGTTCATAAAAAAAATTAACATCTCTTTTGATTATTTTGTATCTGGCGAATACTGTTATATTCCCTGCTCACAATTTTTAAATCTGGTGAGTGCCATATTTAACATTTATCTCTGAGATTCAAGGCAAATCAAGTTGGTTACTACTGATGTGGCATCCAAGTGATTTTCTTTTCCTTAAAAATAAATTGGTCTTTACAGAAACAGACTCCAAATATCTGCTCTCACAGTATGAAAAATGCATAAGAATAAATATAACCTAGAATACATTAGTAACTGCATGCAAATTTCCACTTCATCTGTAAATACATCTATGAATACATGCTATATATAACAGAAACCCAGTAGACATTTATTCCCTCACATGGATATTTGTCATAGATATGGAGGAGTGTCACTTTCTCCACTTATTCTCATCAGACATTTAGTAAGTTCATGATGTTAAGCCTGTGAGTACCACTAACAAGCTGTACTAGTTGGAGCAAACTTCTTTCTTCTCTGAGTCCTGGTTTTCCCATCTATAGGTTGAATAAATTGGACTAGATGAGCTCCAAGGATCTTTTCAGCTATAACCTTTGGTAATTATGTGACCTCTAGCCCTAGTCCCCAGACCTATTAGGGATGCCCAAGATTGTGCAACACACCAATTCATCCCAAGGCTATAGAACATAACTGTTAAAAGTAAAAGCTTAGACCGGGCGTGGTGGCTTACGCCTGTAATCCCAGCACTTTGGAAGGCTGAGATGGGCAGATCACTTGAGCTCAGGAGTGCAAGATCATCCTGGGCAACATGGTGAAACCTGGCTCCTACAAAAAAATACAAAAATTAGCCAGGCATAGTGGTGTGCGTCTGTGGTCCCAGCTACTTGGTAGGCGGGAGGATGACTTGAGCCTGGGAGATGGAGGTTGCAATGAGCCATGATTGCACCTCGGCACTCCAGCCTGGGTGACAGAGTAAGACCCTCATCTCAAAAAAAAAAAAAGGTAGAAGCTCTGGCTCCTGAAAATACACATTGCTTCTGGAATTTCCCTGGGCACAAGCTAACCATGTGGCTTTTGGAGGTAATGTAACCTCTCTGGACCTAGGTTTTCTGTTCTATAAAATAGAAATGCTAAAAGCATGGACCTTACCTTGTGTTGTAAAGACTGTGTGAAATAATACATGGGAAGCTGTGGTGGTTAATTTTGTGTGCCAACATGGCTGGTCAATGGTGCCCAGATATTTGGTCAAAAACTATAATGTATGCTTCTGTGAAGGTGTTTTTGGATGAGATTCACATTTAAATTAGTGGAGTTGAGTAAAGCAGAGTGCCTGCTAGAATGTGGGTGGGCCTCATCTAATCAGTTGAAGACCTCAAGAGAATAAAGGCTCATCTCCCCTGAGCAAGGAGTTCTGCCAGCAGAATGCCTCTGGACTTGAACTGCAACTCTTCCCTGATCTCCAGCCTGCTGGCCTACCTTGCAGATTTTGGACTTACCAAGCCTCCACCATTGTGTGAGCCAAATCCTTAGACTCAATCAGTCTCTCTCCCTTTGTCCCCCACTATGGTGAAGAACTCGAGAGATGTCAGTGTGCTGTTTGTCCTCCTCCCTCCTCAGCCTGCTCACCTTCACCACATAAAGGACTTGGCCTACCAGGTGGAACACATCCATCCCCACAGCCAGGACCTGAGCCTCCTCATCCACTGGGCTCTCGCCTCCACTTCCGGGACTGTTACGGCCTCACCTGGCTTGGTTGCTCCCACCCCAAAACCCTGACTCCCCTCTCTCTGGCTCACAGTCCCCCCTGCTCCAGGCTCCACATCAATCCTGCCTGGCAGACCTGGAAAAAGGTTTCCAAAGTGACCGGTGGGCAGGAAGGGATAGTGATTGGGGGTCTTTATTTTCAATGTGGAGAGGAAGAAGTATAAAAAGTGCAGATAAGTAAGAGGATAAATTACCATCCAAATCTATCATCCAGAGATGGATAAATAAGTCAGATTTGTATGTGGGATGCCAATTCAGATAGAGCAGGAATGGCCTCACAGTAAACAAGGCCAGAAGACAGAGTCCGGGATGAGGGGTCTTCATTTCAAGCTCCTATCCTCTTTCAGTCCTCTTGGCCTCCCCTCCCAACTCTGGCCTGGCAGTTTCTGGAAACTTCTTAGTTGGACGATCCCAGCTGTCACCATGGCCCCTCCTTTATGAGGAATCATACTCTAGAATCTCTGGATTTTATTAGTTGGGTCATTTGGAGGCCTGTCCCTGGGCTCTGAAATGGAAAGGGCAGTAGATGTTTCTGCTACATATGGTAAACAGAAGGTGGTTTCTCCAGAGCCTCTGGCTGTCCGGGCTAGATGAGACCTTTATGGAAACAGAAATTAGGGTCCAGGGTGGACAGGGCTTCCGCCTCGTAGTTCACTTCTGAGAAGCCCCACCCTCCCCAAGCAGGAGGAGGGAAGGAAAGAGGAGACAGACAGGGAGGGTGGAGAAGGGACGCAGGGGGCCTACCACTCCGAAGATGTGAGAGATGTACTGCATGCTGAACTGCTGGCTCTGGGGCGGCCAGTACTGCAAGAACGTGTCCACATCCACCCGCAGCTCCTTCTGCTCCTCCTCCCCAAAGTGCTCCACGTGGTTCTGCAAGTCGTCCACAGACACCAGGCAGCCCTCCGTGAGCCCGGTGCCTTCTCTCTCCACCCGCCACATGATGCGCGCCGCCAGCCTGTGGGATGGGCAGCAGCAGGGGGGCACTACAGCTGCATCCATTCATTCAACACACATTTACTGGGTGTCTCATGCATGCCAGGCACAATGTTGGGCCCAAGATATGGTTTTAAACTAGATAGATGGAATTTATTCTATTGTGATGCTTCATATAGTGGGGGAGAGGTAAGTAAACAAGCACATTTTACATAGAAAGTGCTATGCAGAAAAAATCATACAGGGTGGCATGATAGAGAGTGACTGGGGTGGGGAAGCTAAGGTCTTCCGGGGAAGTGTCACAGGGGAGGCACATTTGAGCTGGAATTGGAAGGGGTGGAGGAGCTGGCTCTGTGACACTGGAGAAAGAGCACTTCGGGAGAGAGCAGTGAGTACAAAGGCCCTGATGAAGGAATGAGCTTGGTCTGATGGAGAAACAGCAGGAAGGTAGAGGTGGCGGGAGCACAGGGAGCAAGAAATGGAGACCAAATAAAGGTGGAGGTTTGGGCAGGAGCCAGGTCCCATGGGGTCTGGGGACACAGAGAGGTGCGGCAGCCTGGGTCTCTCTTAACATTGTGGCCTACTGTGATGAGCCCTGCATCAGGAGTCTAATGACCTGTTTCCACTTCTTACTGTGTGAACCTGGGCAAGTCACTTGACCTCTCTGAATCTATCTGGTGGCCAGTAAAATAGGGAAAATATTCCCTGCTGTGCTAACCTCCAGAGGTATTCAGAAGACAAAGTGAGGTAATAGGTGTCTGCATTATATGTGAAGGTGTTGATATTATTATTATTTTATTTTGAGACGGTGTCTCGCTCTGTCGCCCAGGCTGGAGTGCAGTGGCCGGATCTCAGCTCACTGCAAGCTCCGCCTCCCGGGTTTACGCCATTCTCCTGCCTCAGCGTCCCGAGTAGCTGGGACTACAGGCGCCTGCAACTTCACCCAGCTAGTTTTTTGTATTTTTTTCGTAGAGACGGGGTTTCACCGTGTTAGCCAGGATGGTCTCGATCTCCTGACCTCGTGATCCACCGGTCTCGGCCTCCCAAAGTACTGGGATTACAGGCTTGAGCCACCGCGCCCGGCCGGTGTTGATATTCTTAAGGATTGGGTCGTGTGAAAGTGGAGAAGGCCATCTAGGTGGGGAAACAGTGTGAGCAGAGGCCTCGAGGCAGCCACGGGCATGCCACGTGCAGGACCTGGCCTGGCTGGAGCGGGGCTCTGGGGGAAGAGCAGGAGGCCAGGTGGGACAGGAGGAGACCTGTAGAGACACAGGGACTTGAGTATGAGACAGAGGGGTGTACTTCACCCCAAAGGCCTCTTTGTTAACTATTAGGTGGCCTGTGATGAAGCTTATAACCCAGGGACACTTTAATGTTCCTGCCACCCACTGGCTGCTCACTTTTCAGGCACCTAGGGAGGGGATGGTGGTCTAGGACAGATCCTGTTCCTGAGGAGAGACCTGCTAGGCAAAGCACAGGCCCTCTCCTCGTTATTTTTTTTTTTTTAATTGAAATTTTAATTGAGATAATTGCAGATTTACAGGCAGTTGGAAAACAATACAAAGAGATCCCTTGTACATTTTGCCCAGTTTTCTCTAATGGTAACATTTTGGAAAACTAACATCACAGCCAGAATATTATCCCACCTCTGTTATTCAGATTTCTTCCATTTTGCTTATATTCATGAATGTGTATGTGTGTTTAATTATATACAATGTTATCACCTATGTAGCTTCATGTATCCACCTGCACAGTCAAGATACTAAACAGTGTCATCACCTCAGGGTCCTTTCTGTCCCCCACCTCTTTTTGAACCATTTTAACCATTTTAAAGTATACAGTTTGGTGGCATTAAGCACACTCACACTGTTGTGCAACCATCACCAACCATCTGTCTCCAGAACCTTTTTCATCTTCCCGATTTCTCCCGTTTGAGTCACTGAGTTATTTCTGGAGAAATGCCCCGCGTGGGACTCCAGGTGCCTGGAAACTGAGGTGTCTTCACAGGGAGCCCAGGGCAGCACTGGGGAAAACACAGCTCAGCACATGGAAGATCTGCTGCCTCCAAATAATGAGGAAAGGGTTATGAAGCTCAGAGAATAGAGGTCAATGCGTGATAGATTTCAACTCAATAACTGTCACAGGAGGTGCCATTTACTTTAGGTCTTGAAGCATATGTATTGTTTCAGTAGATGGAGCTAAGGGGCATGGAGAGGTTGACTGAGCCATTTCATCCTGCAGGTTCCTAAAAATCATCATGATATGACAATTCCATTCTGTACCTTAACTTCACACCCTACGCACACAGTGAAAATGCTCCCAGTCACCATCTCCATCTCCTTTGCTCTGCAGTGCTGGCTTCCTGAGCATCTCCCTGCAGCCCAGCACCAAGCCTCCAGGACTTGGGAATCTCTTGCACTGGAGCTACTGGCCTTGAGATTTCTGATGATGGCCACCAGGAAAGGCCATTAGTTGCAAACTCAAATGCGCTCTCCGGTGTAACGTGTATGACCACAGGGAGCAGTGGTGCTGCTGTGACTTAGAAAGCTCTGTATTTTTTCAAAGGTGGCAGATACTACTCAGCTCTAGCCTATTTGGCCAGATCTTCAGTTTTTTTTGTTTGTTTTTGTTTTCCAAGAGAAGTCAAAAATCCTAACTTTAAAATATGAAATTTCCCAATTTTTAAACATTGGTGGATCCATTTAAAAACACTTGCCCCTTGGCTGGGCATGGTGGCTCATGGCTATAATACCAGCACTTTGGGAGGCTGAGACGGGTGGATCGCTTGATCTCAGGAGTTCGAGGCTACCCCGGGCAACATGACAAAACACCGTCTCTACAAAAAACACAAAAATTAACCAGGTGTGGTGGTGCATGCCGGTGGTCCCAGCTAGTCGAGAGGCTGAGGTGGGAGGATCACTTGAGCCTAGGAGGTCAAGTGAGCTGTGATCAGGGCCTCTGCACTCCATCCTGGGCAACAGAGCAAGCCCCTGTATCCAAAATACATAAATAAACTAAACACTGGGGAGCCCTACAGCAGGAGTCTGCAAGCCAGTTTCAGCCTGTGGCTGCAGTTTGGAATCACTGCTGTCAACAGCCAGTTTTCCCTCTTAGACCTTAAGGGAGTGAACAGAAGTGACCATATCCAGTCTTTGAGGCTCTTTCCTGACTTGCACGCAGCTTGGCTTCCTTAGATCTGGGAATGCCGTTACAGAGGCCATTCCAGCCTGACATTTGGAAATTCGAAGCACCACCATGGGGCCCAGCTCTCACCTGATGTTCTCATTGGGTACTTTCCCGTATCTCTTGATGGCCGAACACTCATTCTTGTGGTTCAACCAAGCATCTTTCTGGCAGGTGCGGTCGCAGTAATGGGCAAACTTGCACTGCCCACAGCGATGGAGCTTCTCCTGCCTCTTGAAGCAGGTGTGGCACACAAAATTAACAAGGCTGGAAATGGAGAGAGAAGACACGTGATTGGGAGCACAGTGGAAAGGGCACCATACAGCCAGTGGAACACGGCATTCTGGTACTGGGTTCAGCTGACTGGTCCTTGTCTGTCTAAACTTCAGATTTCCATCTTCCAAAATGAGGCGCCTGGGCTTCCAAAGGCCCTTCTCGGCAATAACAATTCCTTTAGCAATTTTTTTTTGTTTGTTTCTTGAGACGGAGTCTCGCTCTGTCGCCCAGGCTGGAATGCAGTGGCACGATCTCGGCTCACTGCAACCTCCACGTCCCAGGTTCAAGCAATTCTTCTGCCTCAGCCTCCCAAGTAACTGGGATTATAGGCACGTGCCACCACGCCCGGCTAATTTTTGTATTTTTAGTACAGACAAGGTTTCACCACATTATTCAGGCTGGTCTCGAACTCCCGACAAGTTATCCACCCACCTCGGCCTCCTAAAGTGCTGGGATTACAGACGTGAGCGCCCACACCTGGCCTACCAAATATTTTTAAGTGACCCCCATGTGGAGGACACTTTTATCCTCTGCATATAAGCCCTTCAATTCAGGAAGGGTAAATTCATGACCTAAGTGTGTTAGGCATTGGGAATACCACAAATTACTAGAGAAACAATTGAATGTGCAGTGTGGTGAATACTATGACAGGGGAGCACAGGGGGGTCCTAGACTCTTTGGAGAAGACACTTGAATTCCTTATGATCCCCTCGCCCGAAGTCACAGGTCATTGGCACTGTGTTGGAGGGGGCATTTTGGTGACATGTCTTTCTCATTGTTGAAATGTAGTGTCCCCTTCCCCAAAGTACAACAAATCATAATGATCTACAGTATGATGGGACAAGAGTGTCATAGTATTGTATGCAAAGGAATATCTACACACTATGATATATGTCACAGTCTGTGTGTTTTGCAACGGTAAGAATGACAGGGTTACTGATTTCACTGTCATTGACATATTCTCCCAGCTCACAGCGAGGAGATGCAGACCTGAAGATGAGGAGGAAAACGCAAGCCCATTCGATGGGTTCCCCCATGTTAAACCCATCACTCAAACAGAAAAGGGCATAGGTTCCATAGGAAATGTATTTCAGGACATAGCCTGACATCCAGAGTGAGGGAAATCTGGTATGATGCACAGAATCTCTGGCTCATGCTCCTGCAATGTGAGGAAGAGAAATCCCAACCACTGAAGCAAAGAAATAATGAAAACCAGTTCAATGATCTGCAGGGGAGCACTGAGCTCCCGGGAAGCAAGTGGATGGGTAAACTCAGGTAGGAGTCCACAGTCTAAACAGGGACCTCAAAAGTGTAAGAACACAGGAGCTTTTAAAACCGCAGAATTCTAGAGCCTGGAGGGAGAAACTTCCACAGAACATTCGAGCACAGAAATCCTTTGTGTCCATCCCTGGCCATGAATATTCTAATTCCCACAGTGAAAAGGAGTTCACTGTTTCTGAGAACAGTCAGTTCATTGTTGGCCAGTCCTAATTGTTGCAAACTTCCTCCTTGTGTTAAGCTTGAATTTGCCTCCCCAGAAAACCTACTCCTGTACCCTAATTTGGCCTTCTGGGTCCTTGCCCAATGGAACAAGCCTGGTCAGATCCGTTCTTCAAGAATTTGAAGACCACTGCCTTGCTTCCCATTCATTTCTCTCCTCCAAGTTAAATACTCCCAGATCTTTAAACAATTCCTTGTACATGGTTTCTAGAATTCTCGCACCTTTCTAGTGGCCTCTGATATATCTACAGAAATCCCTGTAGCCAAAAGAGGGTGGGTTTAGCTGAGAAATCAAGCAGCATGTGCTGGCCAGTGCCAGGGGGTCAGGCTCACGGACCAGCCCAAAGGCCAGGCCTGACCCTTGAGCCTGACCCCTAGCACGGATCCCAGCATGGCATCTAGAAGGGGAGAGACAGGTGCAGAGCCAGCTGAGGGCACGGCAGAGGTTACTGCTCTATGCTACATCCTGGGCTTCCTAAAGTCCAGGCAGTTTTCAGCCTCTGGCTGGCCAGTTCAACACACCGTTGTATCCCCATCCACTAGGAGGTGCATTGCTACTAATTTGTTAACAATCGTAAAGTACTCGAGGGCATGAAAGGTCAGTGTTTATTTCTAATTTAGAGCAGATTCAAGGTTATCCTCACAGTAACAGCTTCCTCGCTCTTAAACTTGCCTTCCCTTAAACTTTCCTAGTGAACGAGGAGGAGAAGAATCACACTAGCATACTGAGAACTGCACAGGTTCCGCAGCCCATCATAACTAGGCCACAGAGGGTGCACCCTCCCTGAGAAGGTCATTTGTCATAAGTGCCCCAGCAGAATAGAGCACATGGGGCCTACAGGGAACCCTGGCCACTTAGTGAACTGTCTAAACTCCTGCCGATGGAGAGTTACGAATTTCTTACATCTGCCTCAAGTCAGGATTGCATTTTCTGGCAGGAATTGGCAGTTCATTAGCAGGAACTGGACTGCTGAAAAATCCAAGTAAATTGGATTCCAAGAAGGCTCCAAATCTTGTCTCCTGGCCAAACACAGGTGAGAGCTTGGGTGTCAACACCTCACAATTATGGTGCCCAGAGCAGAGTATACTATTCAGATGTGGTGCCATGCACGCTTGCCGGATCTCCACATTGTGCTTCCATTAGTTTCTTTAGTGAAAACCTCACATTAATTTAGGGTCAAACAGCCGGGTGCAGTGGCTCACACCTGTAATCCCAGCACTGTGGGAAGCCGAGGCGAGCCGATCACCTGAGGTCAGGAGTTTGAGAACAGCCTGGCCAACATGGTAAAACACTGTCTCTACTAAAAATACAGAAATTAGTTGGTCATGGTGGCACATGCCTGTAATCCCAGCTACTTAGGAGTCTGAAGCAGGAGAATTGCTTGAACCCAGAGACAGAGATTGCAGTGAGTCGAGATTGTGCCACAGCAATCCAGCCTGGGTGACAGAGCAAGACTCTGCCTCAAAAAAAAAAAAAAAAGAAAGAAAGGAAGAAAAAAAAAATTAGGATCAAATTACAAATATAGTCAGTAGAACCTCCCAAGCTTTCTCAAAGGTGCTGCAGTCAAGGCAGAGTTTCCACTCTGTTTGTCTACAGCGTTTTGTTTTTTCTAGATCTTTTTGTGGGTGTGTTTTTGATATACTATGTGTTTTAAAAAAAAAAAAGAACACTTTGATAGGTTCTGACATATGCATCTACCCACAAAACCATCATCACAATCAAGATAATAAACATATCCAGGCCGGGCACGGTGGCTTACACCTGTAATCCCAGCACCTTGGGAGGCCAAGGCAGGTGGATCATCTAAGGTCAGGAGTTTGAGACTAGCCTGGCCAACATGGCAAAATCCAGTCCCTACTAAAAATACAAAAATTAGTTGGGCGTGGTGGCACGTGCCTATAGTCCCAGCTACTCAGAAGGCTGAGGCAGGAGACTCGTTTGAACCAGGGAGGCGGAGCTTGTAGTGAGCCAAGATTACACCACTGCACTCCAGCCTGGGCGACAGAGTGAGACTTCATCTCGAAAAAATAAAAAATAAAAAATAAAAATAAATAAGTAAAGACTACATCCATCAGCCTAAAAGCTCTTTTGTGACACTGAATTTTTAAACTTGAAGTGGAGTCTTCACATTTATTCCTAACTGATGGTTTTCAGTGTAGCATTCCAAAACGTCAAGGTCATTTTGAATTTTCTTCTGTCATCTTTCATATTGGTATGCTAATCTCTGAGTCATCTGCAAATTTCAGAGTCTGTCTTAGGTTAGGAACGAGGAAGGAGGAGCAGATGTCCACCTCTGGGGCATCAGGGCTCATACCAGGAATATAAACCCAAGGAAGGAGAGAATGGGAGGAGAGCCAAGAGGTGGTCTGGAGAGGGAACAGTTAGACACAAGCACAATCATGCTGTCTGTCCCTTGTAACCTGCCACTTGTAACTTTATGCTTGTCTGTTCCAAGGTCGCCCATCAGAGAGCGACCCCACACCAGAACTACTCTCATATTTTACACCCAAATTGACATTTTAGAATAGCCTAGTACAATATCCTCATCTTTTTATTCATATACATATATTCACACATTCATATTTCATGTATACACTAATACATGTGCCTACCAAACAAAAACATTACTCTTCACAATTCTGTTTTATTGCTTTAAATTTCAAACACAAATGAAAATCACCTAGGTGAACACTTAGAATAACAAATTTTGAGTCTTCATCTTTATAGTCACTGCTTATTTCTAATCTACTTAAACATGTGGGAATATATGGTATCATAAGGATTGGAGACATAGACTGTGGCCAACACAACCTGGAATAACTCTGAAGTTTAAGAATTTACTTTCACAATGAACACATGTAGTCGAGTCCACATGGCTGACTGTATAACCGAAGGTCCTCAGAATTAACTTCCAGGCAGAATACAATGTTTATTAAAAGATAGGCAATTTTAAAATGTGCTAAAATGAGGTTTACCCAACAGCAGTTTTTCAGAACTTAGACTCTTGCGGATTTTGGAGTTATGAGAAGTATTTTATCCTTGATGTTGTTTAGAATTGCTGGTACATGGTGATAACAAAAAAAGATTGACTTTTATTGTTTTTTGTTTTTTGTTTTGAGACAGAGTCTCGCTCTGTAGCCCAGGCTGGAGTGCAGTGGCATAATCTCGGCTCACTGCAATCTCTGCCTCCCGGGTTCAAGTGATTCTCCTGCCTCAGCCTCCCGGGTAGCTGGGATTACAGGCACCCGCCACCATGCCTGGCTAATTTTTGTATTTTTTAGTAGAGATGGGATTTCACCATGTTGGTCAGGCTGGTCTGGAACTCCTGACCACCTCAGCCTCCCAGAATGCTGGGATTGTTGTTTTTCAATTCTGTGCAAAGACCCCTTACTAATGACCTTATTGTAGACATCAGGAATGGACCCCTCACACAACCCTGTCCTTACTTAGTGCATGCTGCTTGTGAGGTTTATTACGGCAAGTTTTCCTA